AAATAAAGTATAAAAATTCACAAAGGGCAATTACTCAAAAAATAAGAAGTGCAGAGACCCGTTCTTGTGGACTGCACTTCTTCTTAATGAGATCTATTATCTTATGAAGTTTCAAGTCAAAAGCTTTTATTGTTTATAGGAGAAATGGCCTGGACAAAATTAAAGTATGAAAATTAACAAAGGGCAATAACTCAAAAATTAAGAAGTGCAGAGTAACAATTCTTGTGCTTTGCACTTCAGGTTTTTCAAAGGAGCATGCATACCAAGTTTGGAGTCAATCAGACTTATAGTGACTGAGTTATGCTCTGGACAAGCCTTAGGGGACCCTTCAAGAAATTGTGACCAAATTACATCCCTCCAAAACCAATGACATACAGTATAAATGAGGAAGAAGTGGGAAAAAAATATCTGAAATACCCTAATTTCAACATTTTATTTTGCATAACTTTACATCTTTTCTGAGGTCAGGGCTCCTGACTAGAATTATATCTTACATCATTATCATTCCTGTTACAAGAAAATTTAACAAAACTAGAGTACATCGTTGTATAGATAATGCTTACACACAAAAAATAAAAATCTATAATCATTCAATATTAAATTTTAATAGCACTGAAAATACCAGCTTTCAATCAAAAGTATGGTTAAAGTGTATAAAGCTATATCTTTGCTGCCTGCAGTAAATAACATCTTTTGCTTGAATTTTGAAAAAGAATAATTCCAGAGATTGTATGAAAGAAATATGTTGGTATTTTTCCTTTAGAGCTAATGCACATGGCAAAATCATTGATAAATAGTTTTTTTTAAAAGAAGACTTACTTAAAATAGCAATATTTTTTCCAAAACATTTTATTCACTCAGTTTTTATGTGTGTTAAATAACAGAAACTCTTTTTTTTTACAATTCTTTCAAGAACCGACAATAAGTTTTTAAAAACAAAATATTTTTACTTTTTTATAAAAATATTTCATTAGATGTAGCTTTATACATTATATTATTTAATTTTCTATATCAGTCAAATATATTTTATATTTTTTTTTTAATAAATATGAAATATAAATATGAAAGTGGGCGGAGTTAAAACTTATATTTATTTAAAGGGACTTCTTTCGCCATTTTGTTTGAAAAATCTGACAAATACAAAACAACTTTTGTTGAATTTTGCTTTGAAAACTATCTAGAATGATAGAAAATGGACTAACGAAGAAAATAAATCGAACACCAATATCTTTAATTCAGTCATTAACCCTGTACAGACGTTTAACAGTTGTTTACGTGACGTCACAATGTAGCGCCAAATATCGCGTGCAAAACAAGACGCAATGATATATTACTGCGCGCTGTACAAATGCAGTTGCGTAGCAAGCAATAGGGTTTGTAACCATTTTTCTTTGATAATGAAATTAAATAAATAGGTTATTTTTTCGTTTTTCGTGAAATATGGTAACTATATATTTTCACGAAACATGATAAAGTGCCACATATTTTCACTCGCCGTCCCGGCTGGTGAAAATATGTGGCATTTTATTATGTTTCGTGAAAATATATTCCATATTTCACTCAAACGAAAAAATATCCTCTTAATATACAAAGTACATTTCAAACATTAATGAAAAAAGACAATGTCCATCAATTCTACATGACAAATTTACACAACCATTATAATGATTATATCTGAACATATTCAACATGTATGCATGCACCAACAGAAAAGTCTATATATAGTAATACAGGCATATCATAAAGTAACACAAGTCAATTATAAAATCCGACCCATTCTTTAATGTTTGTATGGTCCCAGAATTTTAAATATTTTCAATATCCCAAGCTAATTGGGGATGCAAGCAAGCAAACAAACCAGTTACAACTTGGAAAATAAGCAAAACAAGTTGACTAATCTATTGTGAACAGTATTGCACAATGAAGCTACAACAGTAAAAGTTTGATCCAAGAATTGCTAAGCTTGTAAAAACCTTTATTTGCCAAATTCAGATAACATTTATTGGTTACAATGTTTAACTGCAAATCAAGCATTCCATAGAAGTATCACTCTCTACTCTAAAACCACTTATCCATTTACAATAGTTTTTTGGATGAAACCGAATGCCTTGCTTATTGGGTAACCACACCTTTGCACACAAATGCACTTACAGACAATTTCTAGAATATATAGAATCTAAATATCATTAACTATTCTTCTAAAACAATAAATGAGCCGTGTCACGACAAAACCAACATAGTGCGTTTGCGACCAGCATGGATCCAGACCTGCCTGTGCATCCGCGCAGTCTGATCAGGATCAATGCTGTTCGCTATCAGTTTCTCTACTTGTCATAGGGTTTATAAGCGAACAGCATGGATCCTGATCAGCCTGCGCATCCGCACAGTCTGATCAGAATCCATGCTGGTCGCAAACCCATTATGTTGGTTTTGTCGTGGCGCGGCTCATATATCAAACACATAAGAGATTGAGTCATCCATGTGTATTTCTCATGATGACTAGAAGTAAAAATACAACGTATTTGAATTTAAAAATAAATCATTATTCTTATACAATTTGCTGTAAAAAAGCTTTACATTCTACACTAATAACCATAATGCTATAAAATAGATAGATCATATATAAAAGGGATTATAAATAAAGTTCAAAATAAAGAAAAGTAATACTTTGCAATTAATTTTAGACAAGGCTGGTATTGAAAAAAATGGAAAAAAATTTTTTTGAAAAAAATGTAAAGAATGCAAATAATTTTACAAAAAAACATAAAAATCATTTTGGTCCCATTACTCCCAATTTAGCTGCCTAAAGTATTGTTTATAACTATTATTAAGTTTTAAAGCAGTACACCTCCAGGTTGTCGTTTTTTTAAATTCACTCAGTTTATGAAAATACTTCAAAATTTACTATTTTTACATATTTCAATGAAACCTTAATACGATTTGTAATTTAGTCCATAAAACACATGTAAAACCTTCTCAATAAGATAATATATATGTCATGCTGTCAAAAATAATAAATGGAGTGCATTATTCAGTAATTTAGTAAAAACTGAAAAATGTACTAAAATATTCACTCTCGTTTTCTTGATTTCAGGGCCAATTTAACACCAACAGGTTTATTTATAGATATGGTTCCTAAGAGTATTTTTGGTAATATCACCTACCTGGCTTTCTTGGTTAACTTGCAACAAGAGAACTACTTTTAATCCCACATAATTTCAGAAATAGTGATGTCAGATCAATAAGCATTAGACTGGAGGTCAGAGATAAAATGTCAAGAAATTGTGTCTCACCGGAGGATTAGACCTAGTACTCCTAGATTACAAATCTGATGTTCTCCCTAATGAATTAAGTAGGCAAATCATGAAACATGTTTGGTCCAATTTATGTTATATTTAGGTAGCAGTCAGTATTTCACTTACATGTAAATACCAGAGCTAAACTACAATCTGAGATGTTGTAACAGTACATACAGTCTATTACTAAAATTATCATTTTAAAGATTATTGGAGGACAAATGAAATTAATATCATCAACAAGTTATTGTTTGTTGTTTTTTTTTTGGTTTTACGACATACCAACACAATTTACGTCACATGGTGCAAAAACAGGAACGATGATTTTGGCTAACCTCAGGTGATACAAACTGTCAGCAACAACTATAATTGCAGATAATCCCTACTGACTGACACTGTCCTTACTGAATTCCCTATAAAAATAATCATTATTAAGAGGTTAATACACGGCAGGAGAGGGCCGGAAGGTGATAATCGGCCCGCAAAATGAATAATGGACCCAAGGGCTTTAGCCCGAGGGCCATTATTCATTCAGGGCCGATTATCACCTTCTGGCCCTACTCTGACGTGTATTAATGTCTTTAATACACTTGGTAGATCTAATAGTGGCATTTTTTAAAAAGTTCTTTCGTTGAAATTCTTGTCTACTCTTCTACTGATCTGTACAGAGATGTTTACTGTTTGTGTGTTCAAAGCAGTAGAATCTAGAAGCAAGTTTTATTTTCATTTTTTTCGGAACGAATTTGTCGTATTATTTCTTCAAATTTCAATAGTAACAAAAATGTGTTTGTACTAAATACGCTTAAGCTCTCATTATAAAAATAAAGCGATTCATGCTGACTTTTACAGTTAACTGTTTGATGACGTAAAATATGACGTCATTGTTTCAGTTTTGTGCACGTGCACATGTTCTGCGGGCTGATAACTGGTTCTCGGCCCCGGGCCGCAAACTCATAATAGGTCACGTGACACTCATAATCAGTTGAAATCATAGGCAATTTTGTTACTATATATTGTAACAAGTGTATTAACTTTCAATTAATATACATGCATTACTTATTTTATATTACTTGGAGGTGTTCTACATTAACATACATCATGAATTATCAACAGAGGGATGATATGTCACTCCATGTAATTTGTAATATGGCAACTTTTCAACAGAAAAGTTTGCAGTCAGTACAAAAAACATATCTTAACATGATCAACAATTTGTATTTTCCTTTGGGAACTTTCAAAAGTTTGCAAGTGTACAAAAAAAAACATAAAATCATATTTTTTTTCAATTCTAGTCATAAAATGATTACATAAATAATGATGATGCAATGATTATATAATTATGTGATCCGCATCTTAAATATATAGTCTATAAACAATTAATACCTTCACAAATTTCAAACTTAACATATGGCATAATACTTTTAAAACGGTCAGCCCAATCATCATATCTCATATATAACTTGATTGTAAACGAGCTATGCAAGAGTTTTTAAGATTCAAATTATAATTGAGCCGCGTCATGACAAAACCAACATAATGGGTTTGCGACCAGCATGGATCCAGACCAGACTGCGCATCAACGCAGTCTGATCAGGATCCATGATGTTCGCTTACAGACCCTATTACAAATAAGGAAACTGATAGCGAACAGCATGGATCCTGATCAGCCTGCGTGGATGCGCAGGCTGGTCTGGATCCATGCTGGTTGCAAACCCACTATGTTGGTTTTGTCGTGACGCGGCTCATATTAATTCATAAAAAAACTCCATGCATCATTGAGGTATTGTCATTACTATAAAGACATGTGTTAAGTTTAAAGTAAATGCCACCAGTAGTTTTGTAAATAAAACTCTGAATGTGCTTTAAATGTCAATAAAATTCTTACATACAAGATACTTATGTCGTAAGTATCTGCTGGCTAAAGTAGTGAAACTTATTTCTATCAATGGTTTTCAATGCATATGAATGTGTTAAGTTTGAAAATCAAGTCTATGCATTTTTAGTACTTACACTAAATAAACTTTTACCATAAATAATATTAAAGACGATTTTGATGTGACAGGAAGCAAAATCCAAAAGCTCTTCGCAATGCTTAGCATAGTCAAGCATGAAATATATTATGATCTAACCCTTAATATTCTGAATTTATGTAATGGATTTGCCCCAGTTTGAATTTGGAACAGTCCATTCTAAGTTAAAGGATTTCAATAACAAAACACTAAAATTCAGCTACCAACTATATTAGGCTATTGAACCTGCATATCGATGCAATCTAAGCAGGTTGGTCATGCTTTATACTGGTAGCAAAGGTTAATCTCTTTTGGTTCTAGTAAGATAATGGTTGGTAAGGTCTAGCAAGACTAGCATGAAACATATTTTGATTTAAAACATAAAAAATGCGAAAATTTAAATGTATTTCTAGCTCCTAACCCCAGTAAATTTACCATCACCACAAAAGTTTAATGACACTTGTTAAAATTAAACTAGAATCAATACAAAACAATGGATTTCATGATCAGATTTTTAAAATATTTAAACTCAAAAACATTTTATATTTCATTATAAAGTATTGATCTCACAATTCTGCTATTACCTCTTAAAAATATAATACACCAAACAAAGGGGCTTCCTTATGGCAATAAGCGCACATATATTTAGGTAGAGCCATAGATCATTTGTAAGCTTGCAAGGTATGCTGACACTCTTTGTTGGTAACTATACTATTTGCAGAACAATAAATTGTGATATAAACCTACTGTTTCTAAATTCACAATGATTAATTTTGTATCAAAACATTTCAAAATCTTTTGATTTCAAAATAATTATCAACATGTAGCATTTAGTATACATGTATGTTTAAAAATTTATGGAAGTCCTCTTAAATATCTTAAATTATATCATAAAACAGTTCTCAAATATGTTTAGAAAATTAAAATAAAACATATTACTAAAATCCACCACAATGATTATAAAAACCAATGCCAATTTAGTATAAAACACAAACCATACAAGTTAAATATCAATGAAAAATTTGCTCAGTCATAGATTTCTGCCATTATAAGAGTAACCAGTGCCGACCAGCCTGTGAATGGGTGGCAACCCTTCCCTTCACCTGTCTTATCGTTATAATTCTCCCAAATATAACCAGTCTGCTCGTATTGTTTATATATATTCTTTATCACGTTATCACGTAACTCTGTGTATATTTCAGCAGCCTGTTTTTGATATGGACCACTTGCTGTTCTATAATGATCTAGAGCACTTAAAGCCAGGTAATTCAAATTAATCCAAATAGCACCTCTCCAGTAGGGAGGGTCATGTTCACTATTGTATCTGTTATACATTGTGGTCGATTGTCCGAGTGAACGTAATCCAAAATTCGTCCACAACAAACGGTCACTCTTCATATCACTCATAGTTCTCATCAGTTTTGGTGAACTAGGTTCAACTATTTTGAGCAAGAAGGGAAATAAACTGACATATCCAAAAGCATTGACGAAACCGAGTTTTGGGTCAGCAAGGACGACACGGATCTTATCCACATTCATTTGTGGCGGTCTCTGTCCTGGTTCGAGATTCTGTGGTGGCTTTGGTCGCTCTAGTCGAACTTTATCTGTATGCAGGCCATAGTCACTGTACTGCTGTTTTGTATCGGACCAATGCAACTGATCAAGAATTCCGTTGTTTGTTAACATTTTATGTGTGGCCATATATTCTTGACCATCTTCACCAAGTGAGTTGGCAATATCAGCTATCAACCCAGAAGCAAGGGCCATCCAACACCTTAGATCTACGTGATATTCTTCATCAGTTGGATGAGAAGCTCTTGGATAATCATCTAAACCAGATGTTAATGTTTTGGGGTTAAGCTCCTTATTTGTTTTAGCATCTCTGCCCCGCCATCGATATGTAAACGGTTTTGGACCAACTTGTGTGGTATTATACCACTGAAACCATGCCTTCAACCTAGGAAAAACAGCCTTTAAGAAAACTTTATCTTTTTCTTTGTCACTATTCAACATGCTTTTAATAAGTCTTTGAAGTGGTAGTATAAGAGTAGGAGGATTTGCATTCACGTTTCGCTGAACAACAAACTCGTCTGGTACCCGTGCCCTCGCCTCAACTCCAAGAATTTGTTCTCGGGGAATCCAACCTTCAGAATTGAGCAAATCTAACCAGTGCGATAAAATGTCTTTTGATATTTCTGGATCCCATTTGCTTATCAGTAAATTGTGGAAGCCTTCATCCCATAGAAAACCCCTCGGGAAGAAGGAGCGAGAAGGAACACCTGTATATAACGCTGCATTCCAGTAACGGACAGGTTCATCATTATAAACTGACTGCACAAGAGATGCTCCATAAAAATATCCTATACTGCCTACCATATTACTTAATGCTGCTTTAGCAAAAATTATTTCACTTCCTGAGAAACCTTTGGATTTCAAATTGAATATTTGCTCAAATTTTTCATCAAATTCTGAGACATGCTTGGCTAAGGAAGTTTAAATAAACTACCACTTAGTTTTTCAGGTCTTTTCACAAAGCTATTGGATTCAAAAATAACTTCCATTTCAAATGGTAATTCTGTTGTCACCTGATGAACAAGGAAATTTGCCCCACCCTCTGTATCACGTGGAACCTGTCTTCCTCCTAGAACAAAGTACGGCACTTTTCTAGCTTTATCCCATGCCTCCACTCCAATACCATTCATTATAGACTCTTTTAACTTGTCCAGACCTGGAGCATAAGTCAAGAGATAGTTATGGCGATATGTTGTCTCAGATTTTGATTTTGGAAAGCTGAGTTTAAAATATCCAAGTTCTTCAGAATACCCATTGATAGCATTAAGTCTCTGACCATTTTTTGAAAGAACTGGTTCAATTTGACCTTGACCATCTAGTGCTGTATAAAACATCAGAGATACAAGCCTTGGTCGTCCAGGGTCCTGTAAGAGACATAAATAATCACAAGCTAACAAATAGTTAATTATTATTCTGACTCTACAGTGTTTAAAGCATGTTTTCATTGAAACAAGAGGGCCATGATGGCCCTGGATTGCTCACCTGACACAACCGCATCCAAGCAATGTCTTAGACAAGCATCATGGCCAAGTTTGATGACAACTGAGTCAAACATGTGACCTCTAGTTTGTTAAAATGGTTTTTCCATATTTGGGCAATGTGACCTAATTTTTGACCGGACACGACCCATATTCAAACTTGACCAAGAAATCATCAAAACAACCTTCCTGACAAATTTCCAGGTAATTTGGATCAAAACTGCAGCCACAAGAGTGTAAAAAAGACTTTTCTATTTTTAGCTCCTGTGACCTAGTTTTTGACCGGAGATGACCAATCTTCGCACTTGACCCAGAAATCATCAAAACAACCTTCCTGACAAATTTCCAGAATATTTGGTTCAAAACTGCAGCCACTAGAGTGTTTACAAGCTTTTTCTATTTTTAGCTCCTGTGGCCTAGTTTTTGACCGGAGATGACCCATCTTCGAACTTGACCTAGAAATCATCAAAACAACCTTCCTGACAAATTTCCAGAATATTTGAATCAAAACTGCAGCCACTAGAGTGTTAACAAGCTTTTTCTATTTTTAGCTCCTGTGACCTAGTTTTTGACCGGAGATGACCCATCTTCGAACTTGACCTAGAAATCATCAAAACAACCTTCCTGACAAATTTCCAGAATATTTGAATCAAAACTGCAGCCACTAGAGTGTTAACAAGCTTTTTCTATTTTTAGCTCCTGTGACCTAGTTTTTGACCGGACATGACCCATCTTCAAACTTGACTTAGATATCATCAAAACAACCTTCTTGACAAATTTCCAGAATATTTAGATGAAAACTGCAGCCACTAGAGTGTTAACAAGCTTTTTCTATTTTTAGCTCCTGTGACCTAGTTTTTGACCGGAGATGACCCATCTTCGAACTTGACCTAGAAATCATCAAAACAACCTTCCTGACAAATTTCCAGAATATTTGAATCAAAACTGCAGCCACTAGAGTGTTAACAAGCTTTTTCTATTTTTAGCTCCTGTGACCTAGTTTTTGACCGGACATGACCCATCTTCAAACTTGATTTAGATATCATCAAAACAACCTTCTTGACAAATTTCCAGAATATTTAGATGAAAACTGCAGCCACTAGAGTGTTAACAAGCTTTTTCTATTTTTAGCTCCTGTGACCTAGTTTTTGACCTGAGATGACCCATCTTCGAACGGGACCTAGAAATCATCAAAACAACCTTCCTGACAAATTTCCAGAATGTTTGGATGAAAACTGCAACCATTAAGAGTGTTAACAAGCTTTTTTCTATTTTTAGCTCCTGTGACCTAGTTTTTGACCGGAGATGACCCATCTTCAAACTTGACCTAAAAATCATCAAAACAATCTTCCTGACAAATTTCCAGAATATTTGGATGAAAACTGCAGCCACTAGAGTGTTAACAAGCTTTTTCTATTTTTTAGCTCCTGTGACCTAGTTTTTGACCCGAGATAACCCATCTTCGAACTCGGTCTGTATTTCATTGAGACAAACATTCTGACAAAGTTTGATGATGATCCAATCAAAACTGTGACTGCTAGACTATTAACAACCCAATTGTTGACGACGCACGACACACAACGACAGACGCCGGACATAGCCCCATCACTAAACCTCACCTTGACCACTTCGTGGTCAGGTGAGCTAAAAATGGACATTATTATTCATAAAGACACGTCTTACAGTGAATCAGTCAATAGCCTCTACAATAATATATCCATAGTAATGTAGACAAATGGTTGAAAATCAAAGAAATAAAACAATTGCTTTGTACATACTTTCAATAAAACATTGACAATATCACTTCTCTTATATGTTGTAATGCCTTACAAACATATTTTATTACATTGTTCAAAAAAGATATGCCCAAAAATTTTCACAAACTCTCCAAAAAAAAAAAAGTTCATAGCCACTTTCCTTTACCCAATACTTATATTATATAAAGAGAATCCTTATTTTGAAACCTGTGATAGTTTACATACGCTGAAAAAATGTGACTATTTGACTTGACATGTATATTAAGACTATTACCATGTTGTTAGGTTTAGCTGAGATTCTTGCTGTCCATTCTCCACCATGATCACCACCATGCCTCTTCACAAACTCCGTAGTTAAACTAAAGTCTGAATCATGAATCTCCTGTACTCCAAAATTAACACCATCATGCTTTAACCAGCCATACTTAGGTAACTTGTCACCCTGTTAGAAAATAAAGTCTTAGTGAGAACTAGTGATTGAAATCGGACGAAATTTGTCCAAATCGATCATCGGTTCAGTCGGATGGGACATAATCGATAACTTTTCGAATAATGTCGCGTTAAAAAGAAATAGGGAAATAACAATTCTTCCCAAGGCACTTGATTATATTCTGAGTAACACGAACTTCATTTAGCACTTTTCAACACAGTTTTAACCTTATATAGTCATAATTTTACGAAATAGATTTTATTTTTCAATGGATGTCAAATAATAACATTCACATCACATTATATTAGTATTGTTTACATCTTTTATTGATCCTGTTCAACTCCAAATTGTCTCTGAGATGATTTTTTGCGATCGGCGAGGTGTTCCTAAAAGAAAATTACCGTCAGAATTAATTCCCTTTGATCCTTTCACGACGTCGCGGAACAAATTTTTGTGAATCGATTATTGTCGCTGTACATAACAGTAACTGATAATCAGCGACTTGCGACAATCGGAACATCACTAGTGAGAACTGATTGTGAACAAATCAAGTATAGATTTAAATATATAACTATTATGAGCAGTTGTTTTATTACTGTCATTAAGATAAATAATCAAATGCAATTATCAATTTAAACTCAACGTAATCATCCTCCAAGAAATAAAACATGAAATGCTTTAATATACACAACAAATCAAACCTTAGTGCAGTAATGGGTTAACTTGTTATATAATTTAATTGATGTTAACCCATTACTGTACTAAGATGATGATATGCTTCAACTATATGTTATAATAACTTATATATTACCTACATAAATGATATGTACATGAATAGGGGAACATCATCATATTTGCTAGCATTTAAACATGAACCTAAAGGTGTTTTAAACCTTAAAGCAGCATGCCTTCAGATTCATGCTAATTTTCATGGAAATTTTTTAAAAAGTTTCAAAAGTTAAATATTGTAAAGAAATTTGTTTACACATTTCGAAATGATACTTAAAACTCACATAAATTACCAAATTCAAGGTAACAAATAAAGGTAAAGGGTTAATAAATAAGATTTGTTTAGATTTCCTCTCGGCTCTAACTTCCAAGTTTGAAGATATACATGTTCTACATGTGGTGTAAAGTTGAAAGGAATTGTAATAATAATACTATTTGAACTGAAAATTCAATTAAACCGTAGATATAATAAAGAGATTGGACTGAGTCTATAAAATAAGTGATCTAATATAGATACCTGATCACACCAATGTCTGATTGGAGGTGGCATCTGCCCTGTAAGCTGGTTCAGCCACATCAGACCCATAACCGGAGATTGTGGGCTTCTTGTCCTCATACCAAAGTATGTGTTTGGCCGGTATGATCCCCAGAACCTGTTTGGCTCCTTGCTAGAAGATGTACTATCCTTTGTCAGCATTCTTGGTGAATACAATGGTGTCTTAACCTTCTCCATTAGATACATCCGATACCTTAAAATATAGAAAATAATTAAATAATAGAAAATTCTGTTAGTCACTTCTAAAACATACATTAAACAAGGGCCATCAGTGATGATATGTGTTGCCTCATTATAGCCAATCGCATGTTGCAGCTACTGTGTAGCAGGAGACAAGAAGCTGGCAACACAAAAAAAGAAATTTTATTGAAGGGCCATAACTCATTCAAGTTGGAAACCTGTGTTATATGCGCAAGTACTTGAGCTACTTATCAATCCTGTAGTAAAGTTTCAATGCAATTGTATGAGAAGTCCAGACAAACTTTGAAAAAAAATAATTAAAGGGCCATAACTCAGACAAAAATCATTGAACCAAAAAAAGCTGATGATATGCACAACTAGACTTGTACTGATTATTCCTATAATGTTTGGATGAAATTGCACAGATAGTTTTTCTAAGAAGAAGTTTCGACAAGATTCTGTGCAGCTGGCAACACACAAAAAAAAAACTTTATTGAAGAGTCATATCTCCGGTAAAAAAAAATTCAACCGAAAAATCCTTGTAATATGGATATATAGTTATTTATCAAGTTTCCACTGTGGTTTGAAATCTTCGTATCAATAATAATAATAATGATGATAATAAAAATGATAAAAGGAAAACGTGTATCTTTGCCAGAGATCTTATATTTTTAGGCTTGTTTCGTTGTTAATGTTGTTCTTTTTGTCTTTTTTTCTGGTAATACAGAATTGATTAGCCCCATTCATTATGTTGGTATTTTTTACAAAGTGACGCAGATTTAACAAATAACTAACAAATTTTCTAAGAAATATGTATACATTCTTGACAGTTTTAATATAATATACATATAGATAGCCATTGCAAAATGACAGTATCAACGCCCAGGATGTGTGTATTAATTGAAATTTTGATCAGCTCAATTTCCGACACAGTTTTGATCGTAACTGGTTGAGACGTAAAGACAGACATCTATGAAATATCAGATTATAAAATCGGTCTGTGTTGCAGTTGAAACACTGAGACTATACGCCATTTATGATACCAAATAGGAAGTGGCTAGCCGTACACTTTGTAATCTCAAGACGTCGAGAAAAATAAGTGTTTGGTTGCAGTTAAATAACATCAATTGAAATAGTTAACAAAACTTTGATATTTTTTGTTTCATTTAGTTAAATGTTCAAATAAAAAAAAATAAAAAAAATAAATAAATAAATAAAAAAAAATAAAAATAAAAAACGCCGAAAATAATTGTTGTTGGGCTCTGACAATTGCGTCAATTACTGACGATATAGAAGTTTGTCCATCATTAAGGAAAGTTTGCCTTAATTAAGGCTTATTAATTGATTGTGCTTTTATGTTTTATGAAAATTATTAAATTATTTTTGCTTTTCACCGTTTTTTTTCAATATTCTTTTTATTTACTTATTTTTTATTTAATTATTTATTCCCCTCCGATCATTATTTATTCGATCCATGTGCTTAATTAACAAAAATGATTTAACAATTCATCTTTCATACAAATAAAACAACAAATCATAAGCATGAAAATCAAGGACGTTTTAACTTAAATTATAACATACAAGTTTGACACTTTTATCAAAATATATTATACAACGCTTGTTCGTATTCATTTTTTTACAAAAATGGCGGAGCATCTTTATTAAAGTGAACACACTAGGATAAATGCGGAGACTTGATTAAAATCCTCGTTTAAAGACACAAAATGACATATGCATTTTCGACTTCCATATAATTTTGAAAAATGCTGTACGGCTAGCCAATACAGTGTGTCCTGGCTAGTCGTACGTGACTCACGTACGGCTAGAACTTTTGGCTAGCCGTACGGGCCCGTACGGCTAGCCACTTCCTACCAAATATGCAATAATTAAATAACAAACAATGGGATTGGCTACCAAATTTTATCTTTCGAATACCTACAATATAAAACCTACAAAAAGTTTTAACTATTATTACCTGAAATACACTCCTGCTGTTAACACGATAGCACATATTGCAGCAGTGAGGATGAATTTTGAGTTACCAGATTTCGTGGTTCTCTTCTCAGCTTTATATCCATCTATAACTGGGGCATGTTTATTGACTTTGACATTTCTGCGACGAACCTCCTTCGTCATGATTGCTAATTTACTTATGCATAAACAACAAAACCGTTTGATTTTCCAAGAAATTCTACAAAACTTGCGTGTCGTGTCAAACGGGGATCTCATAAAAAAGGGGGATGACCCTGACACAACCTGGTTATCTCCCTTTACCGGCTTTTTTTAATCTAAACTCCGTTTCGACCGTATTTTATTTTCCGTACCTGGGAGGCTGGGAAGTAAAGTACTAAATTAATATCTGGCTGAAATCATACTTACTTGTAATATCCATTCTCACGTCAGATATTGAGATTCAATCATTTTATCAAGATATCAATAGAGCTGCATTCTCATCCGCCTAAAATGAGAGTGCAAGAAATCCAAATTGGAAATTCCTGAGAATTTTCTTAAAGGCCCATTATACCTTAGACATGCTTTTATATTTTATTTTCAAAAGGCTTTAAATTTTGGTGTACTTTCATAGTATCCTAAGGTTACGCATTCGTCAAATTCCCGAACCATATTTTTCATCTGTTGCTCAATAATAGTTATATTAATTATTATCTTTATTTAGGGAAGGTAACACATTATGGCCTTCTGAAATATAAAAGCAACAACAGAACATGCATATAGGTAAAATTTTTGATCAGCATCGTGGATATTTCAAGGTATACTGTTTAAAATGTTCATGCTATGATAAGAAAATGTGTCTTTAAAATCATTTGTTTTAATACAATATCTTTTCGTGAGCTAGATCTTAAATTGTCAGATTTTGTTGTCTGATAAAGTTATTAATTCTGTCATATAACTTAGTGCGATGTTAATTTTAAAATTTTAAAAACAAGTACCGCCGCGTGATATTTACATCTGTCATTAGGAATGGCAACCAGTTAAGAGCTTCAAATAGCTCCACTGACGGAGATCTTTTGGGGCTGTAAAATGATTTTATAGAGCAATTTGTTTTTGTAATTTACAAACATTATTTATGTAGTTTGTATTTTCTTTACCCCATATAATACAACAATACATGTAGTCCATAATGGGCAATTTGGTTTTAACAGTATTTATTTCATATCATACAAACATATACAATTATGAAACAACAACATTATATAAAACAGGATTGAAAAGGAAGTCAAAGACTTATATGTAGATTTCTTTCCTGTAAATGGGCAATTTCATATCAAAGTGCAAAAATAGTGAAAAATATTTTGAGTTTTTTACAAACATGGTCCATTTGCAAGTGCCATTTTAAGGTGTTATCTTTGCAAATACCATTAATACCCAATTCTTTTTAATCAGTTTCATTTTCAAGAACTATTTCATTTATCTTAAAATACATTTTTTTCATCATTTTTACTTTTGGTCTTAATTCTATCACCATACATTTTGATTTTTCTGGATTTAAGGCCATTATTATTGATTTTACACCATTTCTCAAGATGTTGAAGTTGTACAATTGAAGTACAGTTATTATGAGTGAATAAGTATTTTGTATGGAAGTCAAAATACTAGTTTGTTTCATTTTGCTACATTTATAACAAAGTATTTAACATGTATTGCTAATCTTTTCCGGTTTAAACAAGCATCTAAATTTCTCTAAAACCATTATTTAAACATATAAAATTTATGGTTGCCCTTTCTTAAGAAGTAAAATTGTATTTATTTCTGAAGTATAGAATGTGCCTTTTGTGATTTCTTTTCCAACAAGAGACCTAGGATGGCCCAAGATTGTTCATCTGATATCCATTTTTTTTTAAGTCTGTTTTAATTTTTTAAGTCAATATAAGAAATGTAATACCAGGACAGGCCAATTTTGTCACCATAGGATAACTAAGAACATCTATAAAGATTCACTGGACAATACTACATACAAAATAGGTAATCTCAGTGCATTGTAAGTTTCAGGTGTTTTCTTACAAATAAATTTACATGTTCTCGTATATAGCTTGTGAGCCTGGGCAGAAAATATTTTGGCACCTGGTGTGATTTTATTTAACTTTAAGTTGTGAAATACTTGATGCTTTGTGCCAAATATCAATGCTCCTGACTTTATAAATTCTGAAGAGATTTTACGATATCTTTACTCTGTTAGTTAATATATAAATGTATACTAAGTGAGCACCAAGGCAGGACCACTTTTTGGTCACATGTGCATGATTAATGTAACTTTGTGGAGGTCTTAAAAGGCAATGCTACGAGGGTTGTTAAAAAAGTAATAGGACTGCAGTTCTACTGTTCACATTTTTAATTTACGTGAACAATTTTACAAGATAATAATATTGGAACATATCCTCTATATACAGTGAAAAAGTCAATAAAATATTTTTAAAAATAACGAGCCTGTGAAAATTTCAAATGACAAGGGGTACGCGACCCGGCGCACGCTAACAGCACAATTTTATGACGTCGTAAAATAAAAACAAAATGTTTCAAGCGTCATCCCTCCTGAATATGGCTTTACTGTTTACTAGTAACTTAAACTCCAACTAACTCTTATTTTAACTTATGCTTTGTGGTTTTGTTGTATTTTCTGAAAATTTATTCAAAAAGATTTTATTAATATTTTTTTTTAAATTGTTGATTTTTTTGTTACTGTTTAAACTTGACTTGCTGTGAATAATAAAAATGTTTATCATTATAGTTTGTCCAGTTAGCTGCTAAATTTTGTCTTTCATACTCTATTTCATTAGTTTGTATAAACCTTCTTGATGTTCATGTGTACTGGAAATATTTTACATTCAACATTACTGTGGTATAGTTAATTTATCTAAGCACATTATGCAGGTATTGTTGTGCCAAGCAATAGTTCTTTTTCACTAATAATATATTTTACTGTCTTGTACAACCAATGGACCAGTGTGATTTAGCTACTCTGTAAGGAAGAACCAGAACAGGACTTAAATCTCCCATCAACATTTTCTCAAGGAATCAATCTCCCACAACCTCTGCAGATAAACTTTAAATAAAGATTTTGATTGTTGTTGAATGATGTTGTTCTACAGAGGTTTAATTTAGAGTTAAATCTAAGTTTTTGAGGTCACTGTAGATAGAGGTTACTACAGTGGGCTGCACAACAGAGGTTACACTATTTCACTTAATGTTTTAATATCAGCACACCTCCAAATTCTTGCTATTTTTCATAAAAATATATTTAAAAGTAAATTATTGTGAAGTGAACAAAGAAAATAATGATCACATTGCAAACAGCACTTACAACCCATGTAAATTACCAAAAAGAAGTCAAATATGTATAAATAGCCCTTAACACAGAAGAAACATGGTGGAAAATACTGCAAAATTAGTCATAAATCACATATAACATTGAAATTATTCCCTTTACCTTAAATCTTTTTGTACTTTTCTTAAAATCTCTGTACTTTTTTTTCTCAAATCTAATTTTCTTGAAAAAATTTGGTTCATCTGGAAGTGTGCGGCTTTAACACCTCAGACTATAAGAATCTAACACCGGCTGCCGGTACATACCGGAATATCTACCTTGAGGATAACTGTTTACAGCGGTAACGAGGCTGCCGAGTTTCCCCTAAACAGTTACCCGAGAGCTAGATATTCCCATCTGCACCGACAGCAAGTGTTTGATTCTTTTTCTTGCATATTGCATGTCAATTATTTTCGGAACAGAAATTATGAAAACTGATATTTTCATTACGCACTTTTTTCTTATAGTAGCGTATGAACATACAACTTCATCATAACGGAAAAATGACGTCATCCTAAGAACGCGATTCATTCATAAAAGGCGCGAGTCAATGACGTCATTTAACACACGCAACTTGTCTTACATGGGGGTGTTTTCTAGCACCAGTGAAAACGGTAGATAATCCTGTCTGATATGCAAGAAAATATTATAAGACCCTTTTATCCAGTGTACACCCAGACTGCACTTCACAGTGCTCAGTGCTGTCTGATTAGATATTATAATGGTAAATGTTTCACCTCTATGTTTTGATCTTAGTTCAAGGAGAAAGCTGTGCTATTATTAGTTATGATCAGAAAGAAAAAAAAAAACATAAGAGAAAGTCATAAATGAATCAACAATTTTATTTCTTTTGTATAATTATTAACATTTTTCCCAGTTTAATGCAAGTAAAAATCAAATAGCATACAGACAATGCATGTATTAATAAAGTCCTCGTCACAAGACAAAACATGTTTGTTATTGCTTAAACAACAACAACAAACCTAGAACAAAATAGTAAGTTAAGGGTACATTATGCCTCAGAAATGAACAGTGTATTTCTTTCTTTAGAAAGGAGATGCATGTATTTTATACTGTTTTAATAATGGATTTAGTGCATGTTAGATGCTTATCATCTGAAGAAAATAAAACTGAATGTTAAAATAATTTATCATATTAAAAAAAAAGAGTCAAAGTGGTATTTAGAATTCCATACAAAATACTTTATCACAAATAGTGTAGTAGATGCCAAATAGAAAAATAACAAAAGATGGTTCACCATAGGCCATATAGGCCTATGAGTGTCTTTTTGGAAACTATGACAGAACACCAAAAAATAAATAAGTTTTCAGGGTAATAAATAAATCATTTGTGGAGCTAAATGGGCCTTTAAGAATAACACAGCTGACATGTTCATGTGCAATTTGAATTGTTGATATAATTGATTATGTAATCAATAACTTAAAGTATAAATAAATTTCATTCAAAAATTATAAACATCACAACTGTTAAAATGTTAACACTTTTTTTTTTATTTCAAATCAAAATAAATATAGTCATACATGTAGTAAAGTAAGACCAGATGGAGTTAGATTTGGCAAATGATATATTATACATTTCGAATTTTTGTTGTTGACAATAAAGTCACAATTTCAAGTCACAGTTTTACTTTTTAAAATGCAAAAATTCAAGAAGACATCCTATGTTTCCTGCTGACTTCAACTGTTGGTTGTGAGGGAATAGTGATTCTCATTTACAACACCACAACATCCAACAGATCTAGCTGTTTCATACTAACAGTCCCTTCACCCATTTTACAAGCTATCAACAAGTAGGGTTCTTTTTAAAGGTATGATTTTGTGTCACTTGATTTTTCCACTTTTCCCTGTCCCTTACACTTAACAGTTCTGAACTCTTTTAAGTGTAACTTTGCTTGTATTCCCTTCTGACATGACCATC